ACAGATGACTCATTTTCACTCAATTTTCACAAATCATGTTTTTTTATTATGATGTTGTGTTTTTATGACTTTTGAACATTGTTAATAACGGAGTTGTGTGTTTTAGCAAACCAACGGAACACGTTAACGTTACACTGAAACGTTCGTCACGCCATTTAAACTGAATAGAATTTATATTATTTCTAGAAGCCTAAAGTTGTTGAATCACACCAGCCGACTAATTTAATAAATCACAATCAAGTGTCCCACTGGAGGTATTAATGTGTGTGGGTCGGTGAAGCTAAGCCGACTTAACGGTCGAGCTCCGAGCTGGCTCCGATGACGTCAGCAGCCCGCTCCAAACGCCAGCTGAAGACAGAGCGCCAGACCAACGAGAGAAAACACCGAAACCGCGGAGAAAGTTACGCTGCGCTCGCTTTCTGGTCGAATACGAGCACACGCGTCCGAGGCCAAGTGAGCGGCCAGGTCCGAGGAGCGCAACAGAGAGATTTTTATTCAGAGTCGCGCCAGACAAATCCCGAGAGCCTGGGGGAAATCATAGCGTTCACTAACCTTCACAAACACGCCGAGACAAATCCGCAAAACACCACTTCGGTCCCCGGAGCTTCAACAGGCTACGCGTTTTCTTTCCTTCGACCGCGTATGTAATCCAATCATGAGGAAGGTTCCCAAAAGGAGAAGGACAAATCGCCAAAGTCCAGCGGCGGAGCTCCTGAAGGGTTTTGTGTTAATGGAGTCCAGTGGTCTCTCTCTCTCGCGCGCGCTCTCTCTCTTCCCGCCCTCAGATTACGTCACTCAAGCTCCGCTCGCGCTGTCCATCATCACCTCATGATATTATTATTTGTATTTATTTATTTATTTTTACCTGTATTGTTATTTATATAATACTGTATATTTTCCTCTTTCTTTCTTTTGTAGTTTATATTTGTTCAGTACCTTTATATGTTGGAAATCAGTCAAGAAAAACCATCACTTCATGACGCGTTCCTTATAAATAACGGACGTCAGGTATTTTTTTTATGTATTTATTTAATTTAAATGATATCGTTAAAAATCAGCAAAAGCTCTTTGCTTCTTTGTCTGTGTAACTGTTTTAAGAAAGAACGCTTGTATCGTTGAGAACATTATCAGATCTTCCTGTCAATGTGTGAAATTCAATAAAGAGCTAATTAAATGATAAGCGTACTAATAATCACAAATTACTCTAGACACACATCTGTGTGTGTTTGTTTATTGCTGAAGTGTGTTGAAATGTCCTCTTCTGCATTCTACTGTACTTTCCCTTCAGCCTGAGGCGCATTCATTTCACTTTTAGTGTGAAAAGCTTTTATATTTGCCAGAAATATTACTTTTTTATTTTAAAAACAAGCAAACTCTGTCCAGATTTAAAAAGTAACGCAACATTACTTTCCATAAAAAGTAACTAAGTAACGTGATTAGTTACTTTTTATGGAGTAACGCAATATTGTAACGCATTACTTTTAAAAGTAACTTTCCCTAGCACTGTTGATAACAATAGTTAACAGTAATAAACACAACACACACTCAGTGCTTCAAAGCTTCTCTGCGGGAGTAAATGCAAGAGTTAGCAGGCCATCTGGAATATCATTTGACTGCAGGGGTGAAGGCTATAGTAGCTAACTGCCTTTTATGGGAATAAAATGTTGTAAGATACCTGTATGGTCGACTATACGTTCTTTTACAAGTAAAATATCCTCTAAATAAGCCCTTTAGTAGCTATCTATCTATTCTCCTTCCCTGCTCATCTGATTTCATGTTTACTATAGATCTAAGATTTAATGACATTTTTTATCATCGTCACGTGAAGTCACTTGTGAAGTCAGTTAATATGATATTATCTTTACTAGTTACTTGAAAAAAGTAATCTGATTACGTAACTCGCGTTACTTGTAATGTGTTACCCCCCGACACTGAAAACGGTCATATGGAATATAATATAGCATGTGCTGCGGCAGGACGCATTCATATACACTTACGCTCTTGTGTGTTGAACTCACATTATTCACAAGCATTGAGATTATTTCCAAATGATCTACATGTGTACATATCCAACATATTTACTGACACTGACCAACTGTATCTGACCACTGAAAAGAGCAGCCGGGTTCATGCCCATAAAAGTTAAAAATCTATTTAAACTTATTGGAAAAGATTAATTTCTGTCACTGCTGTGAACTGACCAGCACAGAATATGAAGAATATCAAAAACTTTAGGAGTCAGCTGTCCACGGTATCCTTAAGATACCAGCACAATAACACACTCAGCAAAATATCGTCTAATTATCTTTATCAATAAAATCCCAGAAAATATTGAGATATTATTTTTGTCAATATCGCACACCCCTAGTACTGACACAAAATGATTTGCAACAGTCGCTTAGTCACGCCCAGTGTAGACAGCCTCAAGCTGTTGGTGTATTTCTGTCTTTTTTTTGGCTGGTAGAAGTTATGAATGGCCGGTAACTTAAAAATTTAGTAGCCAAATTGTCTGGTGAGTGAAAAAGTTCATTTCAATCCCTGACTTTTTCATCAGTAGTATAATTTGTGATTTGAATTTTGTGAACTTGAGTTCCTCTTTTGCTGTGTTATAAACCGGGCTTCAGATGCTTTCACTTTCGATTTCACGATCTTGTCAGGTTTTACAATAAAATAGAATTGTCTATTTTGCTTACATCTATACATCTTTCACCTATATTTTTTATCACCCCAATTAGATTATGAAGAATGATTTGTTGATCTTGTTTTCCCTTTCGTCAGAATGAGAGTCCAAACAGCTGATAAAAACATCACAATAATCCACACCACTCCAGTCCATCAGTTAACATCTGGAGAAGACAAAAGAAACAAATCCATTGTTAAGGAAAACACAATATTGGTCAGATTTCCATAACACAACATGCAACCCGTTTGACAGAAAACCCGCAACTTCAAGTGATCCCCAACCTTGAGGAACTTGGCAAGAGTTTGCTTTGTTTGTTGCTAAACCTATAAAATATAAACGGAGAATCTGTGTATGTGTAAATGTTATTGATTTGTGTTGCCTTCCAGTGTCCGATTCTCATTAAACCTGTTTATCTGGTGATGTTTGGTCCTTAAATTGCTCCACACAAGACTGCAAATGACTTTACCTTTATTTGAACGTCCCGTATTTTATTTAAAGATAAATACATTGAGTGTTTTTCTGAGGAAGGTTCTCTCCGATCGCCTCCAGCACCGTGCAAACTTGTAATAAACAAGAACAAAGAGGTGACTCGTTAAAAGAGAATCATTGTTATAGGCAGTTTAATGATATTAACAGTAGAACTGAGATCCAGTGTAACATGAGTTAATAGGAAAACATTAGTGTTGATAAAGCTTTACTGATGACCCTGTGGGATACAAAAGACACATATATATATATATATATATGAAACAGGTCTACTTTAATGGGTAATTTTTTTTATAAATACAGAAGACGTCACCCATGAGAACTCAGTCTGCCAGTCTAAATTAATCTAATTAGACAACCAATTCATTTCTTACTTCTGCTCTTTAAGTGCAGAAGGTGAACAGATGACTTAAACTTCAGTATTAGTAGCATCGACACGTTTCAATAAATGTGACCTACAGTAAGACACATAAATCTTCTGTCAACAAATAGTGACTGAAGGAACAGGGACGTCAATCTACATGACAGAAGAGTCTTGAGCCCCATCACATCTGAACCTACACACACACACACACACACGCACACACACACACGCACACACACAGACACAC